AGATTCTTACCTTGCCTTTGATATTAGAGAGTTTGGTTTTGATATGTATGTCTTGGTGATTTTCTTTTGGTTATATCCTATTTGGGGTTCGTTCAGCAACTTGAATGCTTATCTTCTCATCTTTTATGTTAGGGAAATTTTCTTCTAACAGCTCTTCAACTATTTTCTGAGCTTTTCTTTGCCTCTTCCTTTTTTGGAAATCCTGTCACCCGTAAGTTTTTCCTCTTCGTGTTGTCCCACGTGATCGTAGGCTTCCTTCATTTTGTTTTCATCTTTTTTCCGATTGTCTTTTACCTTACTATTATTGAGAGAGTTATCTTCAACCTCACTAATTCTGGTTTCCATTGATTCAAAGCTACTCCTTCACCCTTACAGCTCATTGTCCATTTTTGATATCTTTGTATTAGTCTTTTGGATTTTTGTTTGCAATCCTTTGATTGTTCATGGAGCACTTTTCTGAATTCTTTCTTTCCTCAACCTTTACCATCAGTACTTTGGAGGTATGTAATTATTCTCCTGAATTCTTTTTCAAGTAGTTCTAATGCTGCTTTTTCCTTAAACATATTTTCTAGCTCTGCCTCTTCATTGTGTGTTTGAGCTACTCTGTCTTGTTTCTCCACGTAAACAGAGATTTTCTGCTGCTTTCTAGGTATTGTGGTGTTGTATTTGTATTAAGTTGATGAATGTATGTTGGTCTAGTCTTAGGTACTCACCAATTTCCTCCTTGTGGGTGTGATCAGGAGATGAGTTTGTGCGCCATTCTCTGTTCTTGCAGTTCCTGGTTCATTGTTCTTAAAGTTCAGATGAATTGATGGTTGTTTCGTTAATCCGGTGTCTAGCAGCTGGTAATTGACTCTAGCTCAATGAGGGCTGCTGAAGGAGGGTACGGCTGTATGGCTGCAGTTGCTGCCTCCTCCTGTCATGTGAAGCAAGAAGACAAACACACAAGACGGAAGGAAAACAAACCAGCAAACAACAGTGAAGAAATCAAATAGTAATGAGGAAAGAAGAAAATCAAAACAAACCCAAACCTGGCTCCTCCTTTTTCTCTACCAATAAGCAGTTTGCCTCTGAGCCACCTATGGGACCTGAGAAAGTTCAAGTTGGTTCCGCTGTGCATGGCCAGCCGCCCACATAGCCATCTTTCTTTTCTTTTTTTTACCCCTTCTTGTTTACTCCGTGTATCTGTTTAGCTGCTGCTTCTATTGAGAGCTAGTCTAGGGCAAGCCAGGGTCAATTTTGCCCGTTTGGAGCAGGCCTGCTGGAGCAGGGTTATTATGAATAGCTCCTCCCCGTTCAGTGAAGCTCATAACCTGGTTCCAATTGCCTGGTAAGCAGGAGCTTCCCTGTGAGTATATGCTGGTGAGGGCCGGCCTCTCTTGTGATCACCAGCGGAGTATGGGAACCCAGATGGGGGAGAAATCCGAGTCTTTTGTCTCTGCGAGCCACAGGTAGGTTTCTGCAACACAAATATGTTTTTGTCTCTGAAACTGCTCACAAATGCCCATCAGCCACCACAGTGCAGTAGTCTCCTTCTCTCTTGCCATATCTGCTCAATCAACTCTCTCTCCCAGTAAGCACTCGATTTACTTCCCTATCCCCTCTGTGTCTGTGTCATCTGGTTTTCCATAGCCTGCAGAGGGTCTGCACAGGCTTTCTATCTAGTCCACCATCTTGTCCCACCTCTTTTGATAACGCCTCTGCTTATGGATGGTGTCAGGGAGGACCTGGGCTACCCGCTTCTGCTGGGCACATCCTGAGGAAGAGACTTCTGGCCCCTTATTTTAACTTATTTTTGTGTCTATAAAGTATCTTCCTTGTAGACAGTCTGTAGATGAATCTGTTTTCTTACCCATTCTGCCACTTTCTCTTAACTGGTGCATTTCCATTTACATTCAGTGTAATTCTCAATAGATAAGAATTTGCTGCCCTCATTTTTTTGTGTGGATTTTTTTGTTGTTTTGTGTGTGTGGTAATGATGTCTTTGTTATGTATATTGTTTTGTGCTGAGTTCGTTTTGTTTATGGATTTTCTTTCATTTCCTTTGTTGCATTTGATTTTGTGTTTGCTGAGACCTTATGATTTTCTTCATTCTTATTTTGGTTCTAGACTTTAATCATTTTCTTTGTGGCTACCCTGTAATTTTATATTATCTTCCTGGTGTGGCACTTTAGGATAAACACTAGACCACAAGGTCGGTTTGCACCACAAGGTTGGCAGTTCGAACTCACCAGCCGCTCCTCAGAAACCCTAAAGGGTTGCTATGACTTGGAACCAGGTCAGAAAAACTCAACAAGTTTTAACCAGTCTGTGTGTGGTTAATGTTGTCTAGACTGCCTCTCCATTTGGAAGTTCTTTAACGGCACCATTTGCTTTATTTGTTGTTGTTGTTGTTAAGTGCCGTCGAGTCGGTTTCGACCCATAGCCACCCTGAATAGGGTTTCCGAGGCTGTAAATCTTTACGGGAGCAGATCGCCTCATCGTTCTCCCGCGGAGCAGCTGGTAGTTTCGAACTGCTGACCTTCCGGTTCGCAGCCCGATTCATAACCACTACGCTACCAGAGCTTTATAGTTGCTTTTATTTTCAGATTGTCATATCTTGCCTAATTTCAGTCTTTCAGGTTTATTTTATTTTTGAAAATTATTTTTCTGTGTTGGTTTTCAGGTAATGATGTTATGTGTTTAAAACTCAGGTTGTGTGACATTGTTGGCTCTTGTCCGAAGGACTCCTTTTAGCATTTCTTATAAGGTTAATTTCGGTTTTACAAATTACCTTAATTTTTGTTTGTCAGGAAAACATATAATTTCACCATCATATATGAGAGAGAATTTTGCTGAATATCATTATTGATTGGTTTTATGGGTTTTTTCCTTTCAAAGTTTTTTTATGCGTAATACCTTTGCCCTCTTGTCTGTGTGTTTTCTTCTGAGAAGTCAAAACCTAGCCTTATTGGTTCTCCTTTATAGGCTTTCTGTCATTTTTCCCAAGCTGCTCTGAGGATTTTTTTTTTATTTTACCTTTGGGAAGTTTGATTAAAGTGCAGTCGAGTCAGTTCTGATTTACAGTAACCCTGTGTAGGGTTTTCAAGAGCAGCTGGTGAGTTTGAACCACTGACCTTGAATTCAAACCAACATTGTGGTCCAGCACATCATCCCACAGGACCATGCCAGGATTCCTTGATTATGGTATGTCTTGGTAATTTTCTTTTGGGGGCTGTTGTATTTGGGGTGCACCTTCCTAAATGGCTATCTTATCTTCCATTCTATTAGGGAAGTTTTCTTCCAACAAATCTTCAACAGTTTCTCTGTGCTTTTGTTTTTTTATCTCTTCCTGTTCTTCACCTCCAGCCACATGTGAAGTTACTACTTTTGATGGTACTTTAAGTCTTTTTGTCGTCTTCTTTCTGATCGTACTGCTAACAGATTAAGAGAATAAGTATTAAGGGATTCAGCTTCAGTTTTGCGGATTCTATCTTCCACCGACTCAACTATGTTTTTGTTCTTCCAATGTATTATTGCATTTTGGTCACTTGCTTGATCTCTTTTGTCCTACTATTTTGTGTGATTTGAAATTGGCTGTTGCCTCCTAGAACTTGTAGGTTCTGTATTTCCTTGTTGGTTTTCTTCACCCTTGATGTGTTGTTTTGATTTATCCAGGTGGGCAGGTTCACCATGCTGCTCTGGTTGCTTGTTTGGCAGCAGTGATGCACTCACTACCTGTCTCCAGGTGGATTTGGTAGCATGTGCGTGGGCGTCTCTGTTTGCTGGTTGTGTAGAGAAGCTGGGAGCAGGCTGAGTGGGTATTGGCCACCGTCTGCCATGGATCCAATGATGTTGGCGCAGGTGGTAGCACTCACCCAGTGGGTGGGGAGACAGGTTTGGCAAATGTGTCTGCGTAGTGTGGAGATAATCACTGCCTCTTACTTGGTGGGTCAAAAGAGGGTGGTGGGGAGGGAAGAGGACGACAGGGCTGTGTGTCAGTGAGGCGCATGAGTGGGTGCTGCCGACCAAGGAGGTAGCAGTCCTGTGGCTCGGTCTGCAGAAGTGTGTGCTTATGGCCACCTAGGCGGCAGACACATACCACTTACCGGAGGTTGCACCATAGCCGTTCTGTAGGTGCACACCGCAGGCTGCCAGGGCAATGGAACAATGGGAGTAGTCTGCGGGGCAGGAGGGAATGGTCCTCCGACACCAGAGGGGCGAGTAAGGGGAAAGAGAATACTTTTCCAGTTGCCAGTCACCAGCATGGTTGCCAGGGCACTCATATGGTTCCCGCCCTGACTCAGTACAGAGCTGGGGAGGAGCCAGAGTCCAGCATCCCCAGCCTCCATCCTACATGCCTCCCACACACACACGGAGTCCCTGTTTACTGGCTTTCTGTTGGCTTTGTGGTCACCTGAGTCTGTGGACTTCTCGTCTTGAGATCTAGCTCATGTTCAGATGCTCACCTCGCTTCACTCAGCATATGTCTACATGTGTCCCTGTCTGTTTGAGGAGTCCATGAATTGCTTGCCTGTGACTCAGAATGGCCGTGTTGTGCTAGGCCAGCCGAAAAGGCACCTCTTCTCCGTATGTCTTTCCTCTCTCACTGCTGTTGTTCAGATGATTCTTCCATCATGTGTGAGTTACCTCTGTGTCCTCTTGTTAATAAGCTCAGTGTCCCTGGGTTATTGTGTCCCCCCTGATTACACTTGTTTCTCTGGTCTTGGTTTGGTGTAGTGGTGGTTGAATTTTTGTTTTATTTTTTAACTTGTGAATTCAGTGAAGGTTTACCATCAGATCATGTGGTCATTGTTGTAAGAGGGATAAATTCTTGATAATATAAAATTGTGTTTCATTGATTATAGGATACCCATCTTGTAATCAGTGACATCTTAAATTCAGTGTAATACAGTGTATGTAATAAGTCTTCAGGAGAAGGAACTGAATTAATTATTAGTCATTACGGTTTTTGACATGATGTAATGGGCTGACTGATTTTCCTCATGCCTGTCTTTCAGATGCTCTTTGTGTGGGTATGTATGCAGCCATCCCCCGTCTCTGAAGTCTCATATGTGGAAGCATGCAAGTGACCAAAATTATAACTATGAACAAGTAAACAAGGCCATTAACGATGCAATTTCACAAAGTGGCAGGTATTTGCTCCTCTTCCTCCCTCTGTTGTTAGATACCAATCTAAGTGAAGATTAAGTATATCGGGCCTACATTCTAGCCAACTCAAGGTTTGCTGTGTTCTGTTCTGTTTTTAAGAGTTCTGGGGAAAGGACCTGGAAGGACTCTATTACACAGCAATGAAGAAAAAGCCGATGCCACCACTGGAAGTTCAGAACATGTCGTGTCCTCCTCAGAGGTGCTTCCCCAGGCTCCCAGTGAGAAGGAGAAACTGAACCCAACAAGTACTACCTCATATAGTTTAGAGAAACACTCCACTCCTGCCCCTCCTGGTCTGGAATACTGCGTTTTACTCTTCTGTTGTTGTATTTGTGGCTTTGAATCAACCAGCAAAGAGAATCTCATGGATCACATGAGAGAGCATGAGGGTGAGATTGTAAACATCATCCTAAATAAGGACCACAACGCAGCTCTGGACACAAATTAGATGGGCCATTACTTACAAAGGGAAAGGCTAGAAGATCACATTAAACAACAACTTGCTAAACAAAGAAGAAATGATGTGATATTTCGAGATGACTTGGAAACAAATCTGTGATATAATTACAGGAATTCCCAATGGGTAAGTGGTACATATTTTGAGTGAAGGGAAGTGGGTTGTTTGAGAAGGAAGCAACATGTAATCCTGTGCTAACCCTTTGCCATCCCTTCTTGATTCTCATGTTTTTGTTAAAAGCTTACTATAGTGTAGACATGCAAGTAAGAGTGAAAAGCAGGCTTTTCAGACCCTTTTAAAAGAGTGTCACAATCTTAAGCAGAGGTTAGTTTTCTTTATTCTCAGTTTTGACATGCCCACTCTCGAATGACTGGCCTCTTCATGGAAACTCGGAGGCTGGTCTCTGAAGACTGTTTTCCGAGTTACTGGAAGAGTCAGCAAGGGGACAAGTGCTTGGCGGGCTTTCACAGCATTTTCTTAAGTCCTCAGGTGACAGCTACTCAGTCCATGATAGTTTCTGCACTCCATAAAATGGAAGAAGAAAGAGAAAGGCCTCTGAATCCAAATCTAGATGGCAGAATAGACATTTAAGAATTAAATGAGTGTCTTCAATTTACAATGAATGTCAGTGGGCAAAGGGGAGAATCGGCGACTTCCTGCCAAGACGGAAACCAGATCTCCAGTTTCATAGGAATGGTGCTTCACTTCTCAGAGGTTCGTTTAAACAGGCTTGTTGGTTTATAAACCTAATCCTCTCCACTAGGCTAGAACAAGCTTCTTATCCAAGTCTATTTTTAAAAATTATATTAAAATTTGTGTACTTCTTCATCACACCTTAAAAATAGTTTAACCTCTAAAGTGAAAACCATTTGAGAGGGGGTAAGGACTGGAATTCCTTATCTCCTTAAAATGTGTACTGCTTATGGAGGGTTTTTCCCTCCGGAGTTTAGTTAACCTCTAGTTATTTTTAAATAAAATATAAACAAGCATTACTAAAATATGGTAAAAATAAAATTCAGGTTTTTATAAAAATGTTAATAACAGTGTTTGGCAAGTCTACAGAAAATTCCGTTTTGTTAAGAGTATGATAAGACACAGAAAACCAACTCAAAGCGCTTTTGCATTAAAACCTGTCACCAAATAGATGTCATCTTTGTCTCGTTCGTTACACATCTTGTGTTCTGTATTTCAGAGTGAAGAATACAGGGTTTTGTCTTTGTAGTTCTGATCACGTATTTATGTTTGTTCTTGTTAATGAAAGTTCTGCCTACAAGTCTGTACACTATGCTCCTAGTGCGATTTCTGACGTCTTCGATAGTGGAGGCTGTGCCTGGTGAATTTAGGATATCAGAGTTTTGAATAGGGATACTCTACATTTAGGAGAGAATTCTATTCCCAAAGCCCAGGTCTGACTTAATCAACATTTTATAACTAGTTTTAGGAACTATTTAAGTGAAGCCAGTTATATTAAAAAATTGATTTGTTTTTTAATTTCACTTTGACGATAGTGAAACAAAAAAGGTTGTAACTTGCAGTTCATTCATATAGGTAGCTTTATTTATGAAAATTAATCCAGGTTTGATGTTTTTAAAAAAGATAAAATGAATTTATATATACTAAATTATATTCTCGAGATCCACTGTGTATGGGTTCATATTCATTTTCTCCTGTTTCCAGAATTTAAATGTGTTTCATTTCAAATTCAATTAAAATACTTCAGATGGTTCTATTATTGTCCTTCGCATTGTTACCACACATATACTGTGGGTCAATTTTCTCAATGTTGATAATTGTGAATTCAGTATTTCTATGTAAAAAGCTGTTATTCTGAAATTTTACAACCTTAGCAGAATTTTGTTTTATAGATTTTCTCTTGCCTTTACTTTTATACAATCATTTGGAAACTGTTAATAGCCGGAAAACATCCAAAATTTTTTCAACAGTGTGGATTTTTAAATTGCCTTTCCTCATTTCTTTAAACCATTTTCATTGTTACTTATTAAATTTCCATTTGGAATCATGGAATTTAATTTTTCCTAGCTCATGGGGAAAAAATGTACCCCAAAAGTTCCAAACCTTTACTAAAGTATCCTACACCTCACGTTTCTCGTTTCATGGCAAGCCTTAAGTTATCAGAGCCTCTGCCAACAGTCGAGTATTTCTAAAAGTAATAATGAAGACTAAATATGCAATTGTAACTAGAAGAGAGATGTATTAAAATAATCAGTAAGAATCTCTCTTAATAGAAATCACTTTTTATTTATTGGTACTAGACCTTTTGTCATATAAAACTCATACTCACCGTGTTTTCCTGCTCTGGACACTGAAAGTTTTTCTAAGATCTGATGTGAAAATGTTCTTTGAAAGAAACTTATTAGGTAAGCAATGGTGGGGAGGGGCATTTATTCTGATTATTACAAATAATACTTTTCAGGACTCTACAATTTCTCGGAAAATCCACAATATGACTGATGTCCCAGCGTCCCAAAAGTACGCTGCATCTATTCCATTTATCTGTAGACTTTGCGGTTCTGTGGGCAGGTCAGTGAGTGCAGTTCAGGGACACTGACTGAAGCCTTTGTTTGAAATCTTTCATCCAATTCAAGGTAGCTGTTGTTGATTTCATAATCATTTTTGTCTATTTTTTTTTCCACAAAGCTAATGCTGGGTGCCCATGTTTACATTGTATCTCTCACAATGTACTTGGCTTGACAAAGACAAACAGGCTCTCTGCTAAGACCTATTATATTTTAGTTTTCATAGACACTTATTTAATCTTTTTTTTTTTTCTTACTGTACATCAAGGTGCTCTAAGTCAATGTCCTATGAAATATATTTAATAGATGTTTGAGTTTGATATTCATGACATGAATACATGTATTTTTTTAAGAAATAAGCATTGTGTAACACTATGGTATCGCTTCTATAGCCAAAGCATAAAAATTTCTGGAACACTGACATGTACCGAAGGACGACAGTTAATTCTGACATTGTATCGTAGGGAAATGGGATGATTTGCATTCTGTAAAATTGTCCTGCACATCAAGCTGCATGCCTTAACACCTAAAACCTAGGTTGTGTTCATGGTAGAACAGGTTATCTGTTCCGAACAGACAGTGAAGCAACGTCTAGAGTGCTTCTCTGACTACCTTTGGGGGGAAAAAAATGTACAATGTTAGAATAATTTATTTTGCTTTACAGGAGTTTGTCATGTATTGACTTTAATATTGTATTTTGGTAATAAATTTTTTTTGTTAAAAACATTTGTCTCTCAGTTCTATTACGGATTTCTTGTGACCGTTTTTAGCTTGGAAATGTTGATTTAATCATTTAGAAAGTTGTGTTTGAATCATTAAAAACGATTCCCAAGAGTTAAACTGCTACTAAAGAGAACTCTTTGACTGCTTGTTAAACTATTGCTGACTAGCATTACTCTATTCCACAAAATAAGTGAAAAAAGTATTGTTTTTAAATCACATTTAAAATTCAGTCTAATGTTGAAGCTTTTTTGCCCTTATTACACTAGTTCTTCCTTTTGCATTCTTTAATGAAGGCCAGATTCACCTTGATAATTGTAATCAAACAGTCTCTGACATTAGATTTGTTGTATATCCTAGAATCCTGGGCCACCTCAGCTGAAAGTGGCTGAGACCAAATTTTTCTTCCCAACAACTGTAATTTCTTGCCCTGAACTCCTCTGGGCCAGTGTAATCATATCCCCGGTCTCTCAAGACTCAGGGCTCTAAGGCTCAGGCTAGTTTTAGAACCCCCAGCATGGGAGGTCTAGAACATCACCATTGAGTGGGGAAGCCATTGTCACTTGTAGCTGTGGTGGACTTGAAACATAGCAGTTTCAAAGCAGTGTAAAAAAATGTAAAGTATCTCGTTGTTAAGTGCCGTCAAGTCAGTTCTGACTTATAGCGACCTTGTACAGAGTTTCTGAGGCCGTAAATCTTTACAAAAGCAGAAAGCCTCATCTTTCTCCTTCGGAGCGGCAGGTGGTTTTAAACCACCGACCTTGTGGTTCGCAGTCCAGTGCTTATCCTACAGAGCCACCATGCTCCCACAGATCTCATTAATAGTTTCGTATATTGATTAAATGTTGAAATGATATATTTTGATATATTAGGTTAAGTAAATATGTAATTAAAATTAATTTTACCTCTTTTTACTTTTTTGTAATATAACTACTAGAAAACTTTAAATTACATACGTGGTTCAAATATGTCTATGGGACAGCACTAACACCCAACCAAAGATTGGCTTGCTCTTACGTCAGATTCAGCCTGCCACCTGTTTTGGCAACTAGAGCTTTATTGGAACACAGTTGACACCGTTATATATTGTAAATGACTATTTTCATACAACAGAGGTTTTGAGTAGTCGTGGCAGAGCCCAAATTATCTGTGTGTTCCTTTACAGAAAAAGGTTGCTGACTTCGGGACTAGAACAGTGGTATATAATCTAAACTTTAAAGCTACCAGAAATAATGTTTTCATGAAGAATGCCTTTTATAGAAGTGTTTGACACTACATTGTTTCTCCCTCTGTAATTCTTACAAACACTGTTTGTTCTTCTGCGACTCTTATCTATAATTTATGGTTCACCCTAACTCACTGTTTGATCTTGTCTGATACATAAAGCCAAACACAATTTTTGTTTAAAATAACTAATTAATAAACAAACAGTGCTGCTACAAAATGTATCCTCTTATTTTCCTCCTGACAAGCTTACACTGCCTACACACGAAACCCTTCATGGCTCCATGTGGTCCTAGCACCTGCATATGTAGCTGTAGTACAAGATAGTTCAACTGACAATGGACTCATCCCGGAGTCAAAGAAGACGTTCTTAGATGCACCTCATTACAATGAATAGCATGTGTGAGTATGAAGCCAAATTCTTAAGGAGAAAGGGCTTCTGAGTAGAGCAAGAAAAAGTGACAGTATTCTCTCACCCGGACACCACCATGCCCTGCACTGCTAGACGCACAAA